GTTGGGTTCTAATTATAATAAATAAGATGAGGTGTCACATGTCATTATGGTGTTCTTGTATGCACAACCTTTCACCATAGAAAATCATTGTTAATATTTCATATAATAAATATGATTATTACTAACTTATAACCAATAAATTAGGAAGAAAAAACAAAGAATATGAAGATTGAGTGTTAAAGTGGGGAAGTAGGATGTGAGAATAATGACAAATTCTTAATTGAAAAATGAAAGGAAAAAAGTGTGAAAGAATGGATGTGAAATTCAATCATGCCCTACATACTTAACATCGTCTAATAACAACAACCGTAATGAATGCCACCGACGATAATCACAAACACATCAAAGTCTTCCCATTTTTAAGTTTTCAAAATTAAAAACACTTGTTTATCCATCTGGTTTCAAAAAAAGGAGAAGAATTACAAACATATAAGTTTAAGTTTTATATTAATTAGAGATTAAAAGTTAAATATAGTTCAAAAATCTATAAATTTACTATTTTAAAGTTTTAGATTATAAATGAGGTCAATTTATTTATAAGTTTGATTTATATTAATTTTATTATATGTTTTAAATAAATTTTGATAAAAAAAATGTATTTTAATTAGAGATGTCAAAAGATATCAATTCTATCTTTTTAAACCTGTAAACCTCATCAGATCTTCAAAAACAGGTCCAATTGGGTGATCCCATCACTTAATAATAAATTAAATTTTGTAATTTATCAAACTGGCAGACTCATCGAACTCTTACTAAATTATTAAACTACTATCATACCGATAAGAGAGTTATTGTGGAACTACATTTAAATAATTTATTTCTTATTTGAATATAACATCTTATATTTAAATTTTTCAAAATATATTAAAATTGTTCATCTAGTATGAATAATTAAAGAAATAATATCTTAACAAACTTTATTTTATATGCAATTAATTAATAATTTTACTATGATAATATAATAATATACCATTTAAAAATTGTATTTTTAATTTGAGTATTCTATCATCATCATCATATTATTATTATAGCAAGTGGTTAGTAGTTATACATTAAAATATCGTTAGTTAAAAAATTATCTGTACATACAACGAAATAGATTTTCATTTAAAAACATACTGCATAATCAAATACTAGAAACAAAATACACCAGTTACAATATTGAATACTTTTTAATCATCAATTAAATTATAAGCTACTGATTAAAAAATGTTTATTATTTAGACAAAAGAAAACTACTTTAAATCTTATTGTTTATGGAGAATAATGGAAACATAATAATAGTTCTATTTGTTGGGTACAAATAAAGTCTCACATCGCATAAAATATAAAATACACATGAGTTTATATACACATAATATACATTTCTTAGTAAGAAGCTTTTTGGAACGGTATCAAAAGTAAATCGGTGAAAACTTAGCTCAAAGTAGACAATATCTTACTAATAGAGTGACATATGAAATAATCCTAAACAACACTATTATATTTCCATCATTCTTACTTCTCACAAAACGTGCTTTTGGGCTTGTGAAAAAACTTGTTTCTTTCAAAACTTTGGTGGCTTCTACATTATTCTTTACATCTAAATCAATGTTAAGCAATAGGTTCAAATTGCTTTTGCCTAATCAATATAGTTTGGCCTTTTCAATAGTTTTTCTTAAGGTATACTATAATTACGTTATATGAATTCTAAAATATATACCTTATTTTCATTTTTAATTAGATTTATTTAAATTTTAGTTTTTCAAAATAAGTTAACGTAACTTGTTGCAAGATAAAAAATAATTAAAATCTATTTGAAGAACGGATCTAGTCCATACTAATAATCTTTTGAATGATGAAATAAATTTGAGGCTTTTACTTCCTGCACTCCCGCCGTGCATCCTCGTAATTTTCTAAATTACAATTTTGCTCTTAGTAAAACTGACTTCCGTATCACATGTTTTGAAAAAATAAATTCAAAATATTTTCAAAATTTTCAGAATAAGATTTTAAGAATAAACTTTCTAAAATAGAATTTCTAAAATGCATGAAATACATTTTAGAATAAGCTTTTCAGAATAGAATTATCGAAACAAACTTTCCAAAATATATTTCTTACCTCAATTTTCAGTTGAGTATTACTTCTTATATCCTATTACTTCCGAAATATATTTTCCGGAACCCAATAAATACTTTCGAAAATTATTTTAGCAATCACTCCGGAAAAATCTTCCCATAGCTTTTTTTGATGGAGTGAGGAAGAAATTTGATAGGGTGTAGGAAGCAATTTCCTTTTCAGTTGTGTTGTCATATTGGGCTATTTTATAATAGATTGCAGCCTGCAAGATGGGTACTTCACACCAACAATAAATCTGACTTTTTCTTCCTTCACTCTCGTAGTTTCTAACTGCATCATCTTGATTTTAAAAACCATAGTTTATACGTTTTTGGAAATCTTTTAGGACATAATTTCTACAATAGGATTTTTAGAATAAATTTTCGGAAATAAGGTTTTGAAAACATATATCTTTTGGAATAATTGTTTTAAACAAACTTTCCAAATTATAAATATTATGTTTCAAAATGAGTTTTTCAGAACGAATTGTTTTTCAAAGTAAACTCTCTTCTTTTTTCCTCAGTAGCCAATGGCAGAGATGTAATGATGATGGCATAATAGAGGTGTTATGCAATATGAAGGGTACTTTAGTATTTTTCTATCAGTAACAGTGCACTTAGTGATAGTGAGTTGCGGGGAAAATGCCATAAATCCGAAATCAACCGAAATCAATGAATCACTTGAGGGTGCATCAAATTTTATGAACAAATCTTTTCGGGGGATTTCACTCTACCTCCAAGGATTTCATCCTACTTGCAAAATTTTTTGAAATGCCTGTAATGTTTTTCATTAAGATGTGATTAATTTATAATTTTTAATAAATGCAGAAGAATCTTTTGATCATATCATTTTTTAACTAGATTCTAGTTTTTCATTAAAATATTTGGCTTTCTCTCATATCACAAGCTCTCTCTTCTTCACACCAAGCTTTCTCCACCAAGTTTTTCCCATCTTCTTCATTTTCTCATCTCTCTCCACAGATCCACATATCACGTTGTACTTGTTCGAGATCAACTTCTTCTTCTTGTTGAAGATCACGTTCTGGTTGTTGTGTGTTGCTGCATCTGTTCAACTTCCTTTTCATTGATATTCGTTGTTGTATTAGGATTTGTATGTAGAAGGTTTGGACGAGAGAAAGGAAAGACATTTGTATATACAAGTTGTGAAAACAGTTAATCGGATCAGAAAACGCAAGCATACACAAATTGGATTTCAAAATCTGATTTGGCCTTCATCGGATGTTGACATCCGATGTACATGTTTTCGGATTTTGAGATCCGAAAGAGTATGCATCGGATTGCCAAATTCAATTAAGACTTAGAACTTTCAAATGGACCATGCACCTATTTGACGTGAAAAACTTGAAACAAAATCACTCTTTCCGCTCCAATGCCAACGGCGAAAACAACAACACTAAGCAGCACCTCTATTACACTTCTCCAACAGAAAATCTCTCTCAAATATCTCTTAAAACTCTTTCAATGTAACGAGAATGGGAAGTCAAAAATGGAAGACCACGAACTACACACGAGAAAGCACGAAATGAAAGAAGTAAAGGAAAAAAAATGAAGAAGTACATGAATAATAACTATAAAACATTTTATTAAATAAGTTGGTTACTCATTTAATTTTTACCAAACCTCATTGTTCATAATGAGAAATTTAAAACTTGGAAGTATAGGATAAAACCCTGAAAATCCCATCTTTTTAATATCTTCGTCAAATAAAACCCAGCTATATTTGGATCCATATAAAGGCTTCATAGCCATCCAACTTAAACAAACATTTAGGAAAATTAAAAAGTGGAGGATAATATTTCATTTTCATATCTTTAACTTTTCAGCAGAAAAAGGAAAACAGTTTCATCTCTCATTATATTTTAATTACACGGGACGAGGTCAAATCTGCAGAATCATTTTTTTACTCTTTTGTTGTCAGCTGTATTTATTTTCAGTTTCTACTTTTAATAAAAATATTTATAGATTTCTAGTCTCTTAATTTCCGCACACAATTTTAAATTTCCAAGGATTATAAGTAAATTAATGAGAATAATTTTCATGATCATCTTTATCCATTATATATAGTAAGTCGTTTTTAATTCTTTTTATTATTTGGATCTTCATTCACAGTCTAACAGCAGTGGGAAAATTTGGGTTCGGACTTTCGCATATAAAATTCTCTTAAATTTGAAATCGGATTTTATAAAGAAAGAAACTTTTAGAATAAACTGAGGTCAAACAGTAGATAACTTAAAATTAAAAATTTCGTGATTATACAATAAAAATAAGATTAAATATATTTTGAATCATTAAATTTTAATATAAAATTAGAATTTATTTTTATCTAAAATAAGTAATTGCTTTAAAATTGTTCGACATTTCCAATTTACATTTCCGATTTATATTTTTAATTTATATTTAAATTATTTATATTATTTAATACATTCGAGCTCAAATATCAATTTCAAATATTAATCTGATAAATCATTTAACATAAAATAAATTAATATTATTGAATTAAGTGAATTATAATTTTTTATTTTTAAGTTTTGAGATCAAAATATATAAAAAAAAATATTTATTAATAAATTTTTTTTCATGTTATGCTAAGTAAGATTGTTTTCAAATTAGAATTAAAGTTAAGATGTCTTAGGGGAGACCCATACGGAGGAGTGATGACGTCAAATTGAATGAAGACGGGTCATGCAAGGTCATGCCAAGTTGTGTAGACGAAACGAAGGTTAGGCTAAGTTGGTCCTATCCATGTATATTTATCATTAATATGAAATATTTAAGAATTAATTTACAATTTAAAATATTTTTAAGAGCCTATATAATTCTCAAAAGTATTAATTAAAATCTTATTTTAATGTTATGATTAAATACACTTTAACCCTCCGAGCTCCAATCAACATTTCTACTCTCGTTCATCTTCTCTATGCCATTTTTCTCTTGATATTTTTGCAAATAACCTCAATTTGACAGAAGAAAATGAAATAGAAATTTACATTTAAGTATAGAAAGAGGGATAGTGCGGCAGAAGAAGGCGTATAAGAAAGAAAGAAGGAAAGAATAGAAGAAGTAGGGAAACTAAAAACCTTTGGGTCCACTTTCCTTCAAAACTTGGGATTTCTGCGCCATTTCCAGGCAGTACTTCGCGATCTCTCTAAACTTAGGGACACTCCTAAGGTCCACCTTCGTTCCGTCCTTCAGGGTTATGATAACGTCACCCCACTCTCCGATCAAACGTGGCACCACCTGCACGTCCTTTACCACGCTGTACCCAAAGTCGCTTCGATCCTCACCCGTCAGCCCCGAGATCACCGTCACCCTCAGGTTGGTGAACCTGTACCGCAGGTACATGGCGCGTGACACTGCCGCTAGGGTTAGGGGGAGCCAGAAGAGGGTGAATCCCAGAAGAAGGTTCGCCACGAGGTCTCCGTAGTGGGCCCCGCCGTCGAAGAATATGGTCTCGCCGGAGGTGGGGGGAGTGGTGGGGGTGGCGGTAGTGCGGGGGTTGTTAGTGGGGGAGGACACGTGAAGGCGCGTGAGTCGACGGTGGGACTTGGAGAAGAGTGGGAAGTGGGGAAGGGAGCAGGATTGGTTGCTGCAGGCGGCGGCGGCGGTCGTGGTAGCAGCGGCGGGTGGCGAGAGGAGGGGAATGGATGCCATGTGTGTTGGAATGGGAAATGAGTGTAATTAATTATGTTATCCGTTTAGAAGCGTAGAGTTTTTGAGTGGCAGGTAATGGGTTTTTTTTGGGTGGAAAGAGGAGTGGGACCACCTTTTCCTAAGCGGCACTGATTTAGCCACGTGGCGGATCGTTAACCAATTGCTGTTATTGGTGGAGGCCCAATACTCATAGTGGGCTCTGACGAAAACTTTGAGGCAATTGCTTCCTGTATCTCCTCAAATTTCAACTTGCACCCATCAAGTCTATGAAATATCTTCAGACACTTTCTCATATTCAATAAATAATCTCGTCTTTAGATAAATTTTACAAGTGTAATTGGTCAACTTTACGATTATAAAACTTAAATTAAAATGTGATTAAGTAATAATAATATTAATAAATTTTATTGAAACCTTCGTTAATTCACTTTCTTTTTAAGTGGCCGTTTTGCTTTTTATTTTAATCTTCTGGAATGTTCTAGTTCATTGTTTCCTTGTTGTTTCAGAACACAGCTTAGAAACATGAGTTCTGGAGGGTACGCTGTAGAGGTTACGGGCCTCTCTCCGAACGTCACTGACAAGGATGTCCGTGACTTCTTTGCTTTCTCTGGTATCATTGAGACTGTTGAAATTATCAGGTAAGTTTTCAATTTAAGCGATTCTTTCTCCTTAGAAAATTATAACTTTGTTTTGAATTGCGTTATTCTTTATTGATGATATTGATTTTATTAAGTTTCATGGCATAACTCAGATTGTTGTACTGTTTGATTGTAATTGTTGACTCGTCATAGCTGTGAATCCGAATTAAGAGAAACTATAAAAACTTTAATTGTCGTCGGTTCACAAACCAAAGGAGGACACGGCTAAGACGGTTTCCACTTGGTTGTGGGCAGCAAAGTAAGGATTCAGTATAGAGGTGATTAGGTATGTGTTGGTTGTTATCTGCAAAAGCTCCGACTATAAGGGGAAAATTGAGGATTAAATTTATACCTAGTTTTGGCAGGAATAGTCGTTAAGCCTATATAGTGAACACGGCCTATGTAAGGGTATAACTTCGGTGAACCAGCTATTTGGATTTTGCAAGAGTAAAAAAATTGTTGAAAGTAAAGAGTTTAAGGAAAGAAAAGCTACATGGGAATTTTATCGAATACTTGGTATGCTAGAGAAAAGGGGTTGATAAACTGAATTTCCCGTCTTTGTGCAGAAAGCTTAAACTGAATTTCCTTCAAAATTATACTGAAAGGTAAAGATTCAGTAGAAAAAAGGCATAAAACTATACTTGTAAAATGTGGAAAGTATTTATTGCAATCTTGATCAAATTGTCGCTTCTTGCCAAAATGTGAGTTTCAGCTCTGAAGGCATACCCTGTTAAGTAGGAGTAGTTTTGAAGGAAAAAGTTGCCAGACCTTGTATAGGAGTAGTTTTGGTGGGAAAAGTCATTAAACCTTATATAGGAGTAGTTCTGGAGGGTTAGATCCATACCTAGCTGGCCGATCTGTCTTGTATAGGAATAGTCTAGGTGGAAGTGTTATTATGACATTATAGCCGATATATTGCATGTGGTCTGCATATGTCAGCTTTGTGACGTCGGTCCTATGCATGTTAACTTTGTGAATGGTTCCAAAGTCCAAGGCTGAATGAGTTCTCAACATGGAACTGGCATGATTGATTTCGGCATTCTTCCCTTCCAAGGCCGGAGGCTAGTGCACCACAAATTGTTTGTTTGAACTTTATTTTATATCTGTAATTTCTCGGCTTAACTGGACATTTATAAAATTGGCCTGGAAACAAATTTCAATGAGACGTTTTGGATATGAATATAAATATCCATTTGGTATTTATGAATTTGTTAACTCTAGAAAGCTTTTTCATGAAGGAATCATTTATTTTTCCTGCCAGGGAAAGAGGATTGATCATTTATGTTTGGTAGTGTCTGTTTTAGCAATCTAAATGAAATTACCAAGTTTTGGATTTTATCACATTTGTTTGAGATATTATTTTTTGGCTATTTAAAGTTTAATCTGATGGCTGGTTATTGCTGAGTACAGGTCTGGTGATTATGCTTGTACTGCTTATGTGACGTTCAAAGATGCATATTCACAAGAAACTGCATGCTTGCTCAGCGTGAGTATTTAACAAACTCATGTCCAGAATACTTGTTATCGACACTGGAATGGTCACGTACTCGACTAGTTATTAAATTACCTCAGTGATAAGTTCCGTAATATGTTCTTTGTAAAATGATTTCAAATTTATGAAAATGAACATTGTCACTTGATGTGTTGGAAAATGCCTTGGTTATTCAGCTAAAGATGTTTCTAAATAATTAACTGTAAATAGACAGAGTCTTTACGTGATGTTATTGTGCTTTTTTTCAAAAATTTCAGTTATATTTTAGCTCTACATGAAAAACAGTGACATGCTTGTAATGGTGTGCTTGCAATTATGATAGGTTCTTGGGTCAAGAAAGACCAAGAAAAGATGAAAAGAATGGTATATTTCCTCTGTAATGTTCTCAACTGTACAACCTCCAAAAGGGGGCTTAATCCCTCCTCCACAGGATATGAATTGTCCTGTCTATACAACACTCAAAATGTTAGCTACCCCCCTTACCGAAATATACAACCCTTATATAGCTACCCTCTGCATTCGAACCAATGCATCACCCCTTACTCACAGTAGTTAACTAACTCCCCAACCGTCTAAGTTCTCTCTCTTCTCTTATAGACTCTTAGTGTCCTATCAAATTATCAATTACAGCGTTCTATATTTCTGCTTGTTCATATTATCTCAGTTTAATTTTTATCTGTGCTTCTATATGACACTGGAATCAGTTATTGTCGAATGTCTTACTTACAGGTGCTTTAATCTGTAACCATGCCTCCTAATATAACAGCTGAATAACTGCATAGTTGACTAACTGAATGTAATGAACTAATCATTCAATTGTAAATAGCATGCTGTTATACATCAAGTAACATCAGCCTAGTGAGCAGTGTCTAATAATTTGTGCCTTTCTTACTAATATGTTCTGTTAGGGAGCCACTATTTTAGATCAACGCATATGCATAACACGCTGGGGACATTATGAAAATGAGTTTGACTTTTGGAACCAGCCCTCTTACAGTCACGGGGACGAGGCTGCTTCAACTGTATGTATATATATTTCTCTCAATCTCTAAATTGCTAATTATCATAACTTTCTGCTCGTGATGTGACATTCTATATGTCTACATTTTCTGTTTCAGACACCACAGAGCAGTCAATTTGTTTCCTCTGCTGGAGAAGCAGTCACCATGACCCAAGAAGTAGTAAAGACCATGCTAGCAAAGGGATATGTTCTCAGCAAGGATGCGCTAGCTAAGGCTAAAGATTTTGACGAGTCTCATCAGGTTTATGCCACTGCAACAGCAAAGGTTTCTGAACTGAGCCAGAGAATTGGCCTCACAGATAAGATATCTGCTGGTATTGGAGCTGTTAAATCTGTGGATCAGAGATATAATGTCTCTGAAACAACCATTGCGGCAGCATCCACGGCGGGAAGATCGGTAGCGGCGGCTGCAAACACTTTGGTAAACAGCAGCTATTTTTCAAAAGGTGCTTTGTGGGTGTCAGGTGCTCTAAGTAGAGCTGCTGAAGTTGCTTCTGATTTGGGTACTCGCAGGGATAGACAGTAAATAAAGCATGAAAATATTAAACACTCTGTTGTAGATATGTCTGCCTCTGCTAAATGCCTGGTGAAACTTCATTTAGTAATATTGTTGCACTTCTACAGTGCCTAACTCCTGTTCAAATAAATTTCTTTGTAAACACTTGTAGAAGAAAGCGAAAATGCTGTGAGTTTCCCTTATAAGCTAAAATCGTCTTATGTACTCATTTTTACATAGAAGTTTTTCCTTTATCTTTTTTAAAATTTAAAGTAGGCAAGTTAATTTTAATTTATCAGAATTTATTGAAAAATTTATCTTAACAGCAACATAGTGCATGTAATTATGAATAAATGTAGTATATGCTAAGACAGGATTGGACTATGAAACCTGCGCTGTTTTGACCATTGAATCACGATTCTAACTTTACAGTAAACCACGGTAGTACTCAATAAGGGTTAAGATGATTATGATTTATTGGGATAAAAGGATATAACTTTTCTATTGTTTTATATTAATTTATTACTCATTATATATATAGACACACAGGGCATACAAGATAGAAAGTCACAATTAAATAATTACATGATACTAATTATAGCTACATCTCACGTATAAACCCTTATCTATTGTAAATTCATTTTAAGAAATAAAAAGAAGTTATTTTTTAAATATCTGTCCGAAGTAATTTTCTACTTATTCTGCTTGGTGTTTAATAATTTTCATCATCCAAACTAGCAACCTGAGTAGTTCTGATTAAATTGGTCTGATTAGTCCGATTATAGTCTCAATGAATAAAAAAATGCAAAGTGTTCTTAAAAGTAGAATTTATATAATGATAATTGAAAAATATTTGGGTTTAGAATATTTCTTTTCTATGGTATTTCGACAAAACTCTACCGCCTACATTGGTGCATATTTGTATTTATTTTAGACACTTTTTAAATGTAGACTAAATGGGTTTAGTCTGAAGACCTTAGGAGATATTTGTAATCTTTGTATTATAGAACAACAGTTATATCCAATCTAAATATATTTGAAACCTTGTGAGAGAATTTGTTTTCTATTAGAATCATTTTATTTTGAATTTGGAAGTAATTATTCTATTTGATTTTTGGTTGAATTTAGATTTAATGAGACACTATCAAAATATTTGAATTGTATATTTAAATATAAATGACAGTTTTTGCCAGATAAGCATGCTTTGAAAATATCAAGATTCATGTAGGATAGAAGCAATCAAGAATAAATGTTTTGTAATGCAAATTTATACAAGTACATACTAAGAAGAGTTAATCAGATACGAATTTGTTTTAAAAATGTGTGATTATGTTTAAAACTGATATTTTAGTGAGTAATTATAAAAAAGAAATATATAGTTGTGGTTGAATAGTGTTAAGTCAAAAGTTTAGCATTTAATTATTTATACATTAAAATTAAGCAGAGAGATTGGAATCTGAGAGAGTGTGTGGTGTTGATGGAGGCATGGCATATGTTATGCCTGTTATTTATGAAACTATAACAGTTGGCTTGTCAATTCTCATCACTTTTGTTTCTTTGCCTGCTCACAACTTCCATGGCTTAATCACCTTTATGCACCAAAATGTTAAGAGTACACAACAAAAAAGAAACAC